CCACTGTATACTGGTCAGTCCCTAGTGAGAAACAACGGCGCATACTTACTGGCTGTGAGAAACCACAGTGCTGACCCAGGGGACTAGCTGAGGCTGACAGACTCTAGGTGCAGGGACAGGCAGAACAGAAGCAAACTCTGGAGTAACCAGCTGTGGGTAATCAGTGACCTCTAGAAGTGACAGGCATAGGAAGGAGCAGCCAACAGCACTTACTGCTTTTCCTGTTTTCCAGCTGCCGTTGTGCTGGAAAAAAGTAATCATCCTTCTCCAGGAGAGGAAGATGACAAGCACCAGTGTGACTTTCCAACCTGCTTCCATGTAGGGTTAAACAAGCCCTGGGACCAGGGACCGAAAACAAGAGCTGCCTGTTCCCAGCGGGCTGGCCTCGCAAGTGTGCAGCCCTGTGCATCTGCAGAGGAGCGAAAGGTAAGCCAAGGGCATGGCACCTGCACATGTGCTCCAGTCTGAAAACTGAAACAGCCTAAACAGGAGGGTTGCTTAAGAATACCCTAGAGCTTTGTGGCGAGGGCTCTCTCCTGCCACCTGGGTGTAAATCTCTGCAGGCAGGAAGAACACGATGTGGGCCTCCCACAGAACCTTTCCCTGGTACATGCTTCTCCCCATCTCGCACAACCAGCAGCACCTCCTGGGTACCGGCCCAGCGTCAAGCTCATCAGTAGGGCCCAGCGATAGGTAACTCCAGCTTTCCTTGGCTTTCACATGATGCTTGGTCTAAAAGCAGGTTGGTACTTCTGCCCCTCGCCGGAGGGACAGCCAAGGCCACTGGCCAGCACACAGCCTCTCACGCTCAGCAGCAGCATTTTGCTCCATGCTGTCTCTAAGAACAGTGGAGCCCTGAGCAATTTAATTTAAACGGGGCAGAACGTGCAGCAACTTGATGCCATGTTCCACAGCCTCTGGGTCAGGTTTAGTGCGTCCTCCCGCAGCTTTAGCAGAACATGAAAATCCCAGAGACAGGGTATGAAGTGTATGTAGCAGGCAAGCAGGAGAGAGACTTTTCTATCACTCCAGGCAGGTCTGCCCTGTAAGTACTGACACAGACAGAAACTGTTGATATCTGCCAGCATTTCTATTAGTGCATAATGTGCTCATATTAGTGCCTCCTCTCATAAGCTTTCTACTAATGTTGGCACCTGCTCTTCCTTGTCTCCTGCTCCTTTTTGTCCTAATAAGCTCCCAGTCCTTTTCCCTGCAGCATCACTCAACCCAATCCCCCCCCGCCACCCCTTCATTAAAAGTTATCATTATCCTATCCATGTCCTGCTATCCCCTGCATAGTGATTTGTTCCCAAAGCCTTTTAGGAACAAAGAACCCATTCCTTCGTAGTTCACACAATGCAAAACACAACCATTTCAGAGCAACGTAAGAAGTGTGCAAGTTGTCACATAACCTGCAGTGTCTTCATCCAGCACTGTGGTCCTCATGCTTTTCAGCACCACTCTTCCTCTTTCTTTAAAAGTTTCGTTTCTCATTCTCACCTTCATAGTTTCTACCCGACACAAGCACTATTCACTCTCTAAATTATCTCAGGCCCCCAGAGCTCAAACACCAGGGTGTTATTTTGCAGTATGAAACAGTTTGTACTACCTATTTTCTTCTCCCAACATTTATATTTTAATACTCAGTAAAACTGAGCCCCAAACTCTACCTGTGTTGGCTCAAAGGATATACATTTTGGAGCTGAAGAGGATGGACAACTTTTGGGTGGGACAGTCAGAGACCAAAACACAACAGCAGGGGAACAGTTTTTTTCTGTGGTTCCTACCTCTTGTCCTCCAGTTACAGGATGTATTCCGATACTCCCCAGAGAAGAAGTCACTGCTCTAGTAGAGGAAGGAAAAAAATGAGCAAGACAACAACCTGATTCTCAAAGCCGTTACATCATCCAAATAGCAAACATAGTTTATTTCTAAAACAGCTGGAATCCCATATTTGACAAAGTTGCAGACAGATGGAACTTTTGGAACCAGGCTGACACTGAAGGAAACTTAAAACACTTTTACTGGCAGAGCTGCAGTAGTGAGGTGCCAAAGTCCCTGCCAGACAGAGCTGTCATTCAAAGACCCCCAGTAGAGCTGGTGATACCAGCAAAACCTGTGCTTTTCTTGGTAGACATGTTTCACAAGGAGGATTTGGGGGAAGAGAGGAAGCTTTGGCAGCAGAGATGTCAGTTTGCCAGCCTGAAAGCATCCTGCATTAAGAGCACCTGGTGGGTCTATGGACCCAGCACTGTCTAACAGCAAAAGCTGCAAGTATACCTTAGACCTGTCGATACGCACAAAAAACAAAAGGGAACTTGTAATTTGCTTCTCTTGGTCCAGTATAAACAAGTGCACTTGCAGCAAAACATATTCTTTTGATGATCACAGAATATAGTTCTGAAATTCTTTGGTTGTCAGACTGCATGAAATTCCCCCTAATTTTTTTTCCCCCCATGGTGACAAGTGAGAGAGTGATGTGGGAGGCTTAAAAAAAGATGCTAGTGTAGTGCCAGGAGAGGGGGCACGATTCCAGCAGAGAGTGGAAACAGCCTTTTCCTCAGAGCAAGTTCAGGCTCCAGCCCCAATACTTAGCAGGTGCTTCTCCCCACTGCCACCACAGCGCTGAGGTCTCAGCTGCATTCACGCTGCGTGCAGCAGAACATTGGTTTCCCACAGGATTACCCAGAGGGGTTAAAGCTTGTAGGAAGGTGCCTACTATCTATCTGAGGTGATATCTCAGGAGGTGAAGGAGAAATAGAGCATTTCTCTTTCCTCTGGGGGAACAGAAGAGGTTGTATCCTTAAATATCTACCATGTTAGTCCAAATTAAAGTCAGAGCGCTGGTTTCCAAAAACAGTAGTTAAGTCAGTCTTGGCAGGAAAACTGTTGATCAAGCACCCCTATTGCAAAAAATACATATATAGATATATGTGTGTGTACACGTGTGTGTGTGTGTACCTTCTTCTGCAGGCATTTTCATTCAAAGTGCCCAGAATTAAGTCCCTTGTCATATATGTCCTTTGGACCGATCCTGTGCTGGCAGGGCAAGGAAGCCTGAACTATCACTGACTCTACTGACAGTGGATTTCTAGCTGAGAAGGATGTCTGTTTTTTTAAGCCGGAGAGTGTTTGAGGCATGCTCAATTCAGGTCGTTAAAAAGAAGAAAAGTGACCCATTTCTGACCAAACACAAAATATGTCATCTGAAGGCATGGGGCAGAAAACCAGGCCAAAGCTGGAATTGTAAAGAAATAAAAAAATAGTCAATATGAAATTAATAACATTATAGCTGCCTGTTATATAATTTTATTTGAATAATCCTCTACATTAATGTCAAGGCAGTTTATCTTGCACTAAATATATGTATCTTCATCCACAAACAGCAGACTTTTGTGCTTTCAAATTGTTTCCTGCTCTATGTTGCTGTAAATAGGGCACTTAGGAAAAGGAACAGCAAGAAGAATGACAGAAACTGTGCACCATGAGGAGGGGGATTTCTACCTTTCCAGGTTATCTGCTCAGTTATTTTCATTTACTTACTCAAAATTTTTGACACTTCAGCAGTTGGCCAATCTCTCTTGTCAAAGACTTAAAAAAAAAAAAAATCAAAGTAAAGATACGTATATTAGGATGAGAGAAAAAAATAAAGTGGCAACGAATGGCAATGTATGATGACCTGCTATGAGGCACAGAAAGAATTTTTTGAGAGGACCATTAAATTACTTAGCAGTATTGACGCAGAATTTCAAACAAATAGAAAAATGCATAGCAGGCCAGAAAATGTTTTTTCCTCCAGATTGGACCTGGTAAACTGTATAAATCCTACTCTTTGCAGAAACCCGCTGCACCATCATGCAGTTGTCCTGACAGAAGACACCAACTTGTAAGTACAAGTTCTACATCACAGCTAGACATAGAAGGGGAAGAACCAAGGAGGAAGGGTCTGTGCTTCCCTTTTTCCTGCAAAGAATTTCCAGCTCACCAGAGAGGGACTGCAAAAGGAGAGAAAGACAAAGGTGCCAAGAATGCATTGCCTCAGCCTCAAAGTTACATAGAACTTCATGACAATACCAGGTTGGACAAAACTGAGCTGTTCTGCCTGTCCAGGCTCTGGCCAGAGTCTCCAAAAGTATGGACCCCAGCAGAGGCAGAGGAAGGGACAAACCACATGTAAGAGAGAGAAAGCAGCACATTGCTCCATTCACAATGGGCTTTCCATAAACACAGACCGCAAAGAGAATAATTTATAGGAAATGCACAGAAATTTTCTACAGAACAGGTGTTACAAATACCCATTTCACAAATGAGTATTTGTGAAAAGCAAAAGAAAAGCTCCCACAAAACATTAAACATGTATTCTTGGGTATGTATTTTCCTGTATTTGGCAGAGGAAAGTTTTTAAGAATAATCTTTGATTGTTAATAGCCTGTAAAAATTCATGGAGAAAAAACCTGATTTCATCATGTACGGTTGAGGCTAGGAGGGAGTGTTTGCAGTGATGTATTCAAGTTGCAGTTCATAATTTTTGATGCTGGCTGAGCCGATACTAGAAAAAGTCCACAGTTCTGACAGAAAGAGGTAACAAAGACTTGGGTCAGCTTATCCAGGTACAAATCAGTTTGTAACAGTTCCTTTGTTAAACAAATCATCCTTGGAAGTTAAGAATCAGGTAGGAATTTGCAGGATTTCCCTTCTGTAAACAGATGGAAGAAATCAGATGCAATTTTTCCATCCCTCTGAAAGGAGAACCACATGACTCTCCAAATGAGTTTTACATGCACTTATTGCAAATAGCTGGAAATGACCACAGCCCAGCTTGTGAGACGGAAGTTCTTTTTCTCTGTAAAGCTCATAAAAAGCAGGTTCTCCATTATAAACTTCAGGGGGCGGGGAGGAAGTGGGGGAAGCAAAAAACCTTTGGTTCACAACATTGTTTTGCATAGGCATTCAAGTAGATCTTCAAAAGCTACCGGCTGTCCAGGCTAGTAACAAAATACCCACGTTCTCTTCTCAGTAGTGGACGCTCCTCTTTGGTATTCTATTTTGTAAGGCAGGCGTCTTGCAGAGATGACGGAGTCATACAGAATCATCTTTGAAAAGGAAGACAGTGTCACTTGCATTGCCGCAAACAAATTCTTAATACTTGATTAAGTAACACACAGGAAACCTTCTTTTGGTAGGGGGTGGGGGAGGGAGAAAAGAAAGCACTGATACTTTCAATATTGCTAGAAGCAAGTTATTTTGCTCTTGTAGTTACTTGTTAACAGCTGTCAGTAGCTGTGATATGTCTGTGTTGACAGAAAATATGGAATTATTGCTTTGTGAGTAATTTTGAGTAACAAGGAACAGGACATTAATAAATACTTCTAGGTAGACACAGCCCTGTGGCAGAAAATATAAATATTCATTTTGGGAAGTACTCTGGCAGTTACTAAGCCATGATACTTACCTGATGACTGCATGATGCACGAAACCTTGTAGGATGACCATATGCTTAAAACACAAAGGATCGTAGCTAGGAACCCGAAAGTCTGGATGAGAAAACAAACAAACCACAAATACATAACATGAGATGACACATATACCATGAATGTACGGACATTCTTGTATATCCAGCTACATATTTTATGACGTTAACAGACTCAAAAAAGTGATTTCTCACTCCATTCTGCCAACATACTAAAGAAAAAAAGTTTCTGTACTATAATAGCAGCTTATGTCTTGCCAAAACAATGAAAGATAGACTGAGAGTCATATACATGCGGGGGGAGAAAAAGCTGGACAGCAGCATAGAGTCTCACCTTCTAGACTTTCTCACTAGGATTCTGCAACAAAGAAAAGACTTTCTCTAACACTTCTGATTACTGTTCTTGTACTGCCCCATTCAAACAAGTCTTTCCCTGCCATCTGCCAAATAAACAAGTCAAATAAGTCTTCCAGTCCATTTGCATCATCAGGACTAAGTTTCTGAAAGTAATTCTTTATTCTGGAGTTGCATTTCAGGTCCTGCTCCTGTGAAAATACTGTTGCCCACACTCAGAAGTCATGCTTCTATAAAGCCCTCCAGCCCACAGAGGCAGAGAGTACCTTCTGGTAAGTCAGCCCAGGACCTCAGTGGGTTTTAGCTCAGAGGAAATTATCTTGAACAGGGCTCTGTTCAGGAGCAGGAGGCATCAAAAGCCAAAGAATGCAGTGAAACCCTTTAGCTTCTAGCTGCTACAACAGCCATTTGTCAAAACTGAATTTTCTTAATTCTTCCCCTAAACCCATTAGTTCCTATGAGTTAAAGCAGGAGCCTTTCGTTTCAGCTCTCTGACAGGACAAATACCCACTTTAGGGGTGAGCCTGGAGTCTCGCAACAAAATATTTTTGTTGGCATTGTGTTACAAAACATTCACTGACATGAGCTAGAGGGTAGTTCACGCAACCAAGACACAAGCACGGCAAGTCTGTAAAAAAATAAAGTTACAAGTAATAGATTTCCAATGCCCTACTTAACATACATTGCAATTAAAAAAGTGTCAAGACTAATAAACACAGTCTTACCGCTCCAGCCAGAAGTCCAGTCAAATTGTAACTCTTGGACGCTGCTATAATCGATGCAATGAGAAGCAGAATTGTACCGATTAAATAATGAAGAAACTCCTGTAAAGACAAGCACAGTCTGCATCAGAAGGGAAACTTATCAGGAAAACATTTTGATATGCCTCAGAATGAAAACAAGTTGGCAGAGGTTACTCAAACCCAGAGGACAAAACACCAGTCAAAAGACCAAAAAAAAACCCCCAAAAAAACCCTTAAAAAAAAAGAAGAGAAAAAAACACCTCATGAGTGGATTTTGTACCATACCTAACTTTCTGTTCAAAAAAGGAGAGAGGGCCAATCTTTCTACTAATATCACCGGAACAAAATCTACTTACTGGGTATGGATGCAATCCTTTCAATGCAACATGGTACATTACTGAGGGTAAAACGTGTATCTTTATTGCATCAAGTATGCACCCTACTTAAAGAAACAGTTCTGGAGGAAGGAAGAAGCCTTAAGGGCATATTTCTCTAGCCTATATGAAATGGCAATAAATAGCAGCAAATGGCCTAAGTGGAAAACCAAATGCTCCTACTTCTGATACTCTTAGAAGGTAAGCAGTGGATCTACTGCTGGATTTACTAACAATTTGCATCAACCAGAACTGGAAACAGGAGGGAAACCACAAAAAGCACAACTATGCAGGCACATAACCAACACCCAGGCTGCTAAGTCTGTAAGGGTGGCTGCAGCTGTCCTGCAGTAAAACATGATGCCACAGATTTTTCTGAGAGCACTGAGGCACCACATTTAAGCTCCTCTCTAGTGTGACGAGTATCAGTCCAGGACTCAATTTTACCTTGTTATAAGCAGGGGTTATCTGTGAATTTAGATTTTGAATCCTCACAAAGCTTATGGCAACCATATGGGTGTTTGCAAACTGAATGTGGGTTGTTTCTTCTGCATGGTGGGGTGGGCAGGAGGGTATCTGCTTACTTGATCTGCATTGCACTACCAGCACGAGCCAAGCAAATGCCATTATAAGGGAGACAAGAGATTCCGTCTCAAATCAAAGGAGAGAGAATATAGTCCCAAAAGGAAATTGTTCAAGGAAATCCCAGAAGAGAAATAGTCTATCATACCATACCACAGTTTCCCACTGTGTTTATAAACAGCTGATGAGGATCTTTGCCATAAAGTAGGCTCTGAGACTGCAACTTACTTTCCTCATTTGTAACCTTGTTTCGGATAATCAAGATCTCAACCCTTCCTTTTGCTAGAATAAATTACTTCCATAAGGAAGCTTCTCTGGCTAGTCCACAATGCGGCAGGCAAATGAGGCATGCCATTGCCTCCTTAGAGACACTAAATAAAGCAATGTACACAGGCCACTACTTTAGAGGAATCCAAGGGATGGGCAAAGGTGCAAAGGAATCATCAAAGGCTAAACTAGGTGGACAACCAGCCCCTGGCAGCGCCAGGAGAGTGCCCCTCTGGAGAAATACTTCGCAGCTTTAAAAGGTGTCAGTGCTGACAATTTCTTGAACCACTGCAACTTTACTGACTGCAAATCACACCCCTGATTGCAACGTAGAGATCCTGCCAGGAAACTCAGCCAAACACTAGCTGTAGTTTCCCAAAGTCTCTTACAGGTCTTCCTATTCTGTTCTGAAGATACTTAAGTATGTGACTGAAAAGGAGATTGGCTGTAAAAGAACAGCAATGTTCAAGAATCACATCCCATAAAGCTATCTGAAGCTGAGCAGCCACAAACTGCAGTGCCTTAAACTCACTAGTGACCCTGGAACATTTAGGAATGATTAAACACGCAACAAAAAACAAAAGCAGCCTATGCAGAGGTCAAAATGGCATAGTCCTGTTACAGCAATACACACATTAAACGCTGCTTTGCAAAACTGTCACTTATTAGCTTATTTCAATCCTGTATTTCAATTCCTGCACCTGTATTATCTCTAGAGAAAGGAGTACTTTCTAGAGACAGATAGTGGTGGCACACATTTGAAAAAATAAAAAGGGGCGCAAGTCTAACCATATTCTTCAGCTAAAAAGAAAAAGAAAATTAAATTTTTCTCTCTGGTTAGAAGTGGATGGATGGACAAACTGTTATCTTAGATCTGTAAACTACTTACATAGTTTCCACTAAACGCCATCCAACAACTTCTTGGATTTTAAAATCCCTCTGTAGCTCTCCAGTTGGCTTTCCCCACCTCTTTGGTCTTTCCTCTGTGGAACGAACATGTCACTATGCGTAAGGCGGACATGTTCTAAGAGGTTATTAAAATCCATCATCCCACACTAGGACACAGGACTCTTCTGTTAGCTGACCTGACCCAAAGCTACTGAGGAAGTTCAGGTCTCGCAATTTCTGTGCTGCTTGTTAGTCCTCTGCTAGGATATAAGAGATGGATGTGCCGGGGCAATGTGGGAATGAGGCAGGAACATCCTGCAGGATATCCCAGGAATGGCCAGGCTATGGCAATCAGGCTGAGGCTCCTATTTCTTGTTATTAAGTTACCTAAAGCCATACCAAAAAGAGACACATTTGACTTAAATAGCACTAGCAGACTTTATTTTGGGACAGGATGTAGTACATGAATTCTGATCCTATGATTTGGTAATCTAGCAATCCGTTAGCTGCTATAAATGACCTGAGCTAGGACCCATCTACTAAAGGCTTGATAATCAGTAGCTTCTTTTCAATTGTCTCAGAATAACACTATTGCCTTCCCTGGAGTAAATCTGGATTTATATCTGTGTAAAGGAGGGCAGGATCAGATCCAAATCAGCTAAAAAAATTACAAGTACAGCATCTACTGAACTGAATACTAATAACAAAAGCAACAAAAGGATCTATATACAAGGCAAAAAAGAAGTATGTGAAAGACAGCCTATCATTGTGTGATAGCATAAGAAAATGGACTAAGTAATCAAGACATCAACCCACAGGAGAGGCAAGGAACACAGACTTACTGCAAGTGGCCAGCTAACACAAGTGAGCTTCCTGTAGATTCTGAAAATGTGGATAATGTAGAAGAACAAAATCATAACCAAGTCGCACATGGTGACAATTTGAAAGTAGCTGTATGCACTGTGATCCGTCCACGGAGAATTATTTACACTGATGAATGCAACCAGCAGTGAGATCTGAAAGATAAAAGACACGTTAAAGATTTTTACGATGGTGCTCAGAGGGCCATGAAGATGATTTTAAACACAAAAAAATGGCACTCAGAAACAGGAGACAAATGTCTAACGTAAATTGGATGGTCCCAACAAAACGGAGGACAAAGTAATGAGCATGGTAATAATGTTTTAAAATTTGCTGTTAAATGAGCTAAAACAACAATTCAGAATGGGGAAAGAGACAACTGCTAGAAGGAAAGCAGCAGTTTCAGCCTGAAGAATCCAACCCAAAGAAGTCTCTAAGTACAACACAAGAGGTGTCAAATAGAGAAGAGGCACTGAATGCCTGGAGTTGCACCAGCAACCGAAGCATCTAAAGCACACGGACTTTCAGAAGGAAATCACTGAAAGCTGTAAAAATGCAGGTGCCCACGAACGCGTGTGCCTTTACTTCCATTTAGTGAGAGTTCTCACATGCAAAATCGGAGGACCTGTCTGCAACTGAGCTAACAGTTTTACCCTTCCTTTTCTACCACCTACAGAACAGGAGTATTAGCAGGCTATAAGGTCATATCATAGCAAATAATATAAATATTTGGAGGAACTGATTAATTCACCCCACCCCCAATACAATAGTTATAAAACTTTAATATGTTAACACTGTCACATAAAACTATAAAGCATTATTGTACAACTTCTTTCAGTTGTAGGCTTGCAAAGGACAAGAGCTATTTTATTTTTTTAATCTAAAGCTACTTGTTTATTTTACTAATCTTGCTGCTTCTACCAGCCTGCCTAGCCTAGGTGACAAAAATAAATCTAACGAGGGTGTACCCAAATATTTTCTTATTACAGACTTTGTCAATGCATGCTTTCAGCCACTGTGATTTTTAGTTCATCCAAAGTCAGCCAGGAGCAGTAATGAGTCACATTTTAAGTGTTTCTCCAAGACATTAAAAAAAAAAACCAAACCAAAAACTATCTGAAGAAGCCAGCGTTTCAAGACTGCACCATCCTTTCCTGCACACTCATCTTCCAAACTCCTAACCAGCAGCATCCATTATGAGAATAATTTCCTTAACAACATAGCTTAGATGCTTCCTGCTGCAGTTTTAATGGAGTTTCACTTGCTCAGTTCTAAGCAGACATACACATCTTTTCAAGTGCAACCAAAAGCCCTATACACACATAAAAAGTTCACAAGAACTTGCACCTTAGCCAAACTCCATCTGAAAAGCCACACCAATATTGTGACAGTGAACCACCTCAAAAAGGTGGCTCCAAAGAGAAAAGTCAGTGGTCTAGGATCCTTTCCCACACAAGTGGCTAAGCTATTGTTAGATCTGGTCCAGCTCCATTATGTGTACTGTGGTAGTCCAAGTAGTTTGTATTAGCATTGTAAGTGATGCTCAGTCCAAGCCAGTAACAGGCTTCTGCACTACAGTAAGCCTACATGTCCTCCCACCTTTGAAATAAATATAGGGTAGGGAAGACAGGACTTTGAGGTGCAGGGCTGGATCATGCTCAATGCTTCTCAAGAATGGAGGTGACACATGCCTTTGAAAATGCATGGTATTGCTTAGTCCCTGTCTCCCCAACTATGTTCCTGCCCTCTGGTTTGGGAGTGTAACATCATAGCAGCATCCTGCATGTTTAGTGCTTCTGTCTGTACCATGCCTGTTCTCTGGATCTCACAGCCCAGCCACTGGGGAACCCTAAATGCACAAAGTCTTGCATCTTGTGCATGGCAGAGCTTTCTGAGATGCTACATTTCTTAGAAGACAACAAAGCAATGCTCTCTGCAGTTCAGCATTTAAAGACTTCTGGCCCAGCTCTTCAATTCTGAGGTAATTTTAATGAAGCTTTGTCCCATCTATGTCTACATACACCAGGTCTACATTAAGCTGTGGTTCCATAAGGGGCCATGGCTTTTGCCATCCTCTCCTTCTCACCCTGATTTCATTCCCTGTCATGTACTGGCTCCTCTACTCATATGTGCTGAGCCACCTCAGTGTACTAAGCCAGCAGAAAAGCCAGCTACTAAAAAAAGCAAATAGCTTTACTCTGACTCTGCCATCAGACAAGGCAGGATCAGGTGAGCAATCAAGTGTGAGGGAGAAGCTAGGACTCCAAGGGAAAGGACAGGAAAGACTGAGCAGGTAGGGGGGGGGGGGTGGGGCCCGCAGCCATTAACCACACTGGCTCAGGCTGCCACAGAATATCCATCTCAGTTCCTTGAATCTTAACATCAGTTAAACAAAGAGTCATCTGTGACTTAGCTGTTGAATAACTTCAACAATCAGAAGACCAGCAGGTCATCTACCCTATAATCTAGAACGCTTGAAGTGATACAAGACACAGCTATTATTTTGATGAGAAAATGAAAGTTAAATTTAATGAAATTTCATTCTATAGTAAGACTCAAAAAGAAGTCATGGCAAGCATTGAATCTTGCTCTTGGATAAAGGTGGGATGAGGACAACACTTCTCTAACCACCAAAGGCTAAAAGAGGTCTCCCTGATTCAGGTGCCTTCACAATAATCAGTTTTTGGTTTCAATTACACTGCACAAATCAAGAAGGAAGCACTAATTCACAGAAGTAAGAAATCTGTCTGTTGGCTCATTTCATGCTTGAACCATTAACTTTATCAACTTTTTTACTGTGTACAAAGGATAAGAAGGACTGGATACTTGAAGTACAACCACCATCCAAATAATAAGATGCACTGGTAAAAAAACCTTAGTTTAAATCAGACCTAGTTCTTTCATCTTCAGGGAAGCATAAAAGGGTGGGTTTGGGGATTTTTTTCAGTTAGAAGGTCTAAAAATCTAAGAAGAAGCATAAACAAGAATGTGAGCCATCCAAGGACAAGATCAGGAAATTCATCTGAGGTGTCATATTCCTCAGAAATAAGAAGATACAAGGTACCAACCAGTCAGTGAAGAAGCTGCTCAGCTCCTAAGAACAGGGTAGAAAGGTGGATTTGAACAAACATGCTTTCCATTTCAAGTGTACTTCACAATTAAAACAATTACAAAACAAAACAAAAACAAAACAAAAAGATTCTCCCTCCTTTGATATTAGATGTGCCTCGGCATATAGGTAGGAAGAAATCACTGTGTGGCAAGAGATATTTCTTTCAAAGATTTCCTTTCTTAGCATTAATTTCACAACATTAGATTTACATGCAGTTTCTAAAGAGGGTTCTCTGATTGGAGACTCATAATGCTACTTCACAGGACAAGTGCAAATGGGACAATAACAACAACTTTATATAAAGCTATACCATGTTTGCCACACTATATTGCCTGGATGGCTAGCAGGTACAGTCAGAGTTTAAAACTCACCTGTTGAAAAAGAATGCTAACAAATACAGGAAATAGAGCCACATAATATTGTTTTCCTTTAAAAGTGACAAATACCAAAGTTCCTTCACAAGATACCAGTTTACCATGGTATACGGGGTGATGACTGTATCTTTTTTCCCTCCTGTAATCCCTGTTTCCAGAGAACTTGAAATTGAGTGATAAAATGATTAATACATAACTGTCCAGGATATAGCTCAACATATATCTTAGAAGTTAGTCTGTGGCACAGAGAGAGAGAGAAATGAATGGCAAAGCAATAAAATGATCAAATGTTACGAGTGTTCTTTATGCATCTGTGCTCAGGGAAGTAGGTTAATACATCTTGAAAATAAAAATTAGAGGCACAAAAAAATTACAGCACTGCTGTTTCCATTTCAATATAGTATTTCACAGGTTGTGAGAGCAGCAGACGTGTAACCCATAGCCAGCAAGCCCGTCAGACCAGAAGTACAGGTCAAATGATGGTCAGTTTCATTAGAAGATTTCAATATGCTCCACAAAATACATCCAGGCTTCAACCTGCATTACAAAAGGGGTGGGGGGACGCATTGCAGGACACTAATATTTAAGTGCTTTCTGGTTTCTGAAAAGCAGAACAAAGGACATATACATCAATCAACTCCAAGGAGGGAATTTTGGATTTCAGTAAAGTTCTGTATTTATTCTGTTTTGCAGAAGTTGATCAGCTTAAACTAATCCACTTCTTGACTTTCCATTGGACCAGATATTTGAAGTGAGTCATGAAGCGTGTTTAGAACACTGGTATGTATCAGGAACTATCTCTCAGTGAAGCCAACATGAACTAAAGGAGTCAGCAATTGCCAGGAGGCACTCAACACCTTACCAGACAGAACAGACATTATAAAAGAAAGATGGTAAGAGTCTGCATTCTCGTCTCTATTTTGAGCTGGGGACAAGGCAACACATCCTCTGAAACGTGTCTGCGGAAAATGTTGGCTCTTGAATAGCACTGACATAAGCTCCCAAGCCTAAACTCCATTCTGATTTGAAGTGAGCACAGCTCTACCAAAAATGAAACATAATTTGCTCTTTCCTGATACGGTCTTCCATCAAAAGCCAACTCATGGCCCCTAAAAAAGGATGAACAAGTACAGATCTTTCCAGGATGTTAAAGGGAGGTGGGATGGGCTAGGAGATCTGATCTTCACAACAAACATGGGCCAGATGTTATGCTCTGGTGATCAGGGCAAGGCTCAAGACCCTTTTCCCCCTGTGCTATAACACCACTCGCTCCATGTGGTATGGCATGGGCCAGGCTGACCAGCCACACCCAGGGCTGGTGGGTGAGAGAGGGGCTGCAGCAGCACAACATGTGTCCCAGCCATGCAGGAAATATAAGGTGTGATCCAGTTATATGTCTCATGCTCACAGCAAGGATCACAGAATCAGAGAATGGTTGAGGTTTGAAGGGGCCTCTGGAGGTCATCTTGTTCAACCCCCCTACTCAAACAGGCTGCCCAGGACCGTGTCCAGCTAGGTTTTGAATATCTCCAAGGATGGAGACTCTACAACCTCTCTGGGCAACCTGTGCCAGTATTCAACTATCTTCACAGCAAAAAAGCATTTTCTGATGTTCAGATTGACTTTCATGTGTCCACTGCCTCTTGTCTTGTCACTGGGCACTACTGAG